TGTAGAAATCAGCACAAACTGTCGGTGTTACGGGTTGGAAGTGAGAAAGCTCTGATAGAAATACAGCTTTGAAACAACCTGTTTTTATGGATTTATATATGTTTAAGTCAGTTTTCATCCTGCATGTAATTTATCCTGAGTGATGAGTTTGTGCTGTCAGTGAAGTGACCTGAGCGTCCGATCATGTTTCTACTAACTTTAGTTTTCACAGAATGTCACTGGGTGCTGTCGAGGTGGTGTTTTGCTAAAAAAAAGAAAAACGTTTTACTCACATGTTGTAACTTTATTGACTAAATAGAAAAACTAGTGATAAAAGAATTCATCCACTCGGACATAAATAGAGTGGACATGGTCCCCGTGTCTCTGGCTGGCTCGCACGAGGTTTTCTTTTCTTTCTTTCCCTCGCTCCCCTCTGCCTGGGCGGAGCTTGTTACGGGCTCTTGCTCTTGGCCCACGCACCAGTGTGATTGTCACCACCTGCTGCTGTTCTGGCTGATTCCCCAGCTGCTATTGAAGGCAGTTGCACAGAGCAGCTCTCCGCTGGAACGCAGAGTCTCCTGAGTTCGTGCTCTCGGCTTCTTTAAAGAAGTCCCTGTGTGTATTCGCCTGTGGTACTAACTACTGTTTCCTGTATGTAGATATCCCCCTCCTGGACCAGATTACGGACCTATCGTGTGTGGCGGTGTGAGTGGAGATTTGGAGCGATTGCGGCTGAAGAGGAGTGAGTGTGCGTGGATTACCCCCTTCTCCCTGGAGCCCCTCCCATCTCACTGTACATATATCGCACTGAGGTGTTCCATATTGTAAATAAACTGTCTTCGTTTGTGTGCAAAGAACTCTGTCTGTGCTTGAGTCCGTCCAGTAGCCATGCTTTTTAATTCTGCTGCAGATCTCATTAGATCATCTGAGGACAGAGGATGCACAGGTGAGTCCACCTGTGATGTTTAAAACAGGCTAACATTGCTGACACATACAAACCACGGCAGGACTCAACAAATACATTTTCATTTGTATTCAAGTCATTTGAGTTCTTCAGATGTTTCACCTTTTGTGTCTGAAAGTCTGTGTTTGAGGGAAAAAGTGATTTTATTTTTTTAAGGTTTTGCAAAAGTCACAATAAGTTTTGAAGGCTCATAAAATCCTTTGATATGTTAAAACAAAACTTGAATGTTTGCAAAAATGATTATCATTATTATTATTATTATTATTATTATTATTATTGTTTGTATTTGAGGTTCCTTCCTGCCAAACACCACGTAGCTCATAAAGTCACAGCTGTGAGGCGACTCTGTGGAAGAAGTGTCAGTATTTAAATAATTTTCCAATGTGTGTAATCATTTTTTTAGAACATCGTTTACAAAAAGGCAAAGTTTATCATTTAAAGTTACTTAAAACCTAAAAGAATCAAATTTGAGGTTCATCCTATCAAAACACTTTACCAGTCTTTGCTTCATTTAACAATTTAATTTTAAGCATCTTCTAACTTTTCAAAGATTCTTTTTTCAATTTGAAATTGTGGCCGGAGATCGCTCCCACATCTCTGTAGAGTTTGTGTTCTCAGTTTGATGACGTCTTAAAATTTAAAAAACGTTTCAGAAAACTGAACAAACCTCCAGCCTCCACCTGCAGGCTGTACGGCTCAGAGAGAGTCTCCATGTTGTTATTCAGAGCACAGGTGTAGTTCCCAGAATCCTCTGCAGTCAGAGGGCTGAGACGGAGGGAGGGGCCAGTGTCTGAGAGGGCGTGGCCATCTTTGAACCAGGTGACCTCCAGTTGGTGGAAAGTGCAGACTGAAGCACAGAGCAGTGTGACGGTTTCACCTCTGCTCACCTTTTTATCATCACTGGAGCTGATTATTCTCATTTTAGACGAATCTAAAATCAAAGTGTTCATATTACTTCACACTTATTAATTCTTAATGATGAATGATTATTTGCAGAATTAAGATTTTGTGTTCTCACCAACAACCATGACATTCACTCCTGTCAGGTTAGTAAAATGTCCTTCACGATGATCAGCTTCCATCCTGAAGCGAAAGCTTCCTTTGTCTCTCTGCTGAACATCTCTGATCTGTAAAGTGCAGTTTGTCTTCTTGTCTCCCAGATATTGATAACGAGGATCGATGTTTGTTGAGTTACTGTCATACACAGATGGAGTGCTGCCCTGACAGAGTGCGATGGTTCTTACACCAGCGGACTCTGACGATCTTTAGAGAACTTCTCTCCCACCATCACTGAAAGACTTCAGAGGTGTGAAGGTGCAGGGGAGGGTGACAGTGGACCCTCTGACAGCACAGGTAGACGTGAAAGGATAGATCACAGTTTGACCCACAGCACCTGTGTGTGACATATACAAAGCTGGTCAGATTAAACAAAGAATCATGGCAGGGTATTCTGGGTAGTTGTTATGGTTGCACACAAACCATCAACACAACTTTTTTTTATGAACATGACTCCAAATATCGAGTTACTTTTCTCAAAATTTCTGGTTTTTGACACTACGGGCTTCCATACTGTAGTGTCTGCTGTTATACTGACGGGAACAAACAAAGTCAGGTACTGATGAGTTAGCAGTTACTAATTGTGTATTTTATATTTTCTCATCATCTGTACTGCAGCAAGCCACTAGAGGGCGACTGTGATATTAGAGGCTTCGTACAGTCCAGATCAGAGGGTTAAGATCACTTGAAAAATGGCAAAAAATCATGTTTTGCATGGTTGGATCTTAACAAGGTTCCAGGTCGAGCTTCAACATGAAACAAGGAGAAATGAGAGTGAAACAAAACATTTTTTGAACATGCAATTTATTGAAAACACTGATTAAACTGAAACAGGGTGTTTCGAAAAACAAAAATACCCACAATTTAAACTCCATAAAACCAGTTTTAGACACCAGCACACAAACAACAGTAGTTCCTCTACTTTCTAACAAGAGTTTTTGATACGATGCAAAATAAGTAAATAAGACAAACTGTAGAGATGAAGACAGAAACACATCTGATAAGCAGGAAAACGTTGGCCGGAAAAAAGAAGAACGAAGGAACTCAAGTGTCCCAACAACGTCCTCAAATAACTGCCTGACTGTTCACCAGGTTCCCAGCACGAGCCGAGCAGCACCGATCTCAGGAAGGAGGTACGAGAACATCCATCAGCAAATAAAAAAATAAATAAGTGCCAATAATGAAATCAATGACTGCATTCATTGAAACTTGCTGTCTTCAATATTAACTGTAAAGTTTTTCTATCAAGTAAATGTGACGTCAGTCAGAAATAATGAGTCTGCTACAAAATGTTTGTGTGAAAACAGAAAGTAACGTAAAATAACTTCTCCTTTTGATTTCCTCTCAGCAGCTTTAAGGTGGCTACAATGATCACATCCAGCTGCTCGATCACTTATTGATCTTCTACATTCACACTCACATCTCTGACATGTGGTTTCTGCTTTTGTGCCTTTAAACAGGATTTGGATGCAGAGCAGCAGCGAGCGAGTCAAAGGAAAACTCTGAACCCTGTTTCCACTGATCGTCACTAAAACAGGATCAAAATAAGACTTCAGTCTTACCTGCCAGCAGGAACATGAAGCTCCACAGAAGCTGTTTGTCCCAAACTGCCATCCTTAGTTTCTGCTGAGGCTCTGAGGAGCGAGCAGAGAGTAAAGAGCTGGATGATGAAATGAGGCTGAAGGGTTGTCTCTGTGAATCTGTCGTTTCTTTTATGGTCACTTCCTGAAACCACGTGATTCATTTAAAAAATAGGAACAGTTTGCAGAAACTCAGAGACCAAAGCACTCTGAGCTGCAGGAGGAGGGTTTCATGTTCATTAGATTTGCAACATGCAACAAAGAGAACAAGAACGTTGTGTAAAGATCTTTGTTTCTTGTTTTATTCAAAGTTCTGTTTCATCATTTGCATGAAATCTCTGCTGAACATTGAAAACAAGTGTGGACACAAAGAAAGAAGATTGTTAGCGATGAACTACTGAAACAATCTAGGAAGTGTCCCAGCCTGATGTGCAGAAGCTCCAGATGTTGGTTTCATGTGTCAGCACCAATCGTCAGAGCTGATGACTGACGATGGTAATTAACACGTTTATCCAGTGAAATGCGTGAATACATAACATATTATTTTTATCTCTTTATTTTTTTGCATTGGCTGCATCGAAACAAATAAAGATTGTTATGATCAGTAGATTTTCTCTCATCTAACCTGCACCGAGGATCCTGTACACAGGAGCTTTTTTGTGTTTGAACACACAGATGTGATGGATGAAGTCATCGCGGTTACTTCTTCCGTTTTATTTTCAGCGTCTCCGTCATGATTTTATTTCACTTCTTTAGTTTTTTCTTTTTATATTTCTGTAAAGGTTAATTTAGAAGCTCTTTAATGAAAGTTACATTTTAAAGCTAAAATCTGATTATTGTCGTCATGCATGAATTTTCACATTTCGATAGTTTCAGTGGTTAAACTTTATGATTGATTAATTTCTGACGTGCTGCTCAAATATAGATATAAAAATGTAAATTCAGCTTCCTGTTTGTCGAATTAAAAACTGTCGAGATTTTAGTTTTACACGTTTTTGTTATGACAACATTCTAATCATTCTGTTCATGTTTTGTTGTTTTTACGACAGGTTTAGTCTCAAACATGTTTCCGTCCCTGCAGGCAGAGTCTGACATCACGTCCTGTCTGCTTGTTTCAGGGAAAACAGAAACGCCCTTTATCTGTTGAGTTAAAACTGTAACACTCATCCTCAGAAGCTTGTGCCATCATCTAATGTTTCACAACGTTGTCCTACACTAAAGGCATTTGTGAGGGAGGATTAAACAGACGTCAGAGCAGATTAAAACATTAATATAGTCGATGTTTTCTCTTGTTTGTTTATCAAGAGGAAACAGGAACCCTCGAGAAATTTAAAGAAAATCTTAAAATTTTTCATAAAAACTTTTTTACAACAAACAACAACAAAAAACAGACGAATTAAAAAAAAATCATTATTTTTATTGCAATTAACATAGAAGAAAAATGAAAGTTATTTTTAATAAAGTAATGTGTTCATAACAAACAAAACATTTTGGACTAAAACAGAAGTCGTGACACTGAAACACAGACTGTATATAGAAGATGTCCAAAGGCCCGTCGTGACGCCGCAGGTTCATGTTTTTAAGACTCTGTTTTGGTATTTTGACTCGAGATGGAGCGAGGCGGCTCTAACAGTGAAACCGAGACCACCGCAGGCTCGTACGGCTTTTGGATCATTTAAAAATAGACTAAATGATACCTGAAAATAACAGGAGAACTACTTCCTCCTCTGACGTTCTGCAATCAAGCTGCAAAACATCTGAGGAAGTCTTAATGTGTTGCTAATTTCACTGAGCCAGTGCAGGTATTAGAAAGTGGACTCGTGCAGCTCTGGCAGCCATGACAGGGTAAAGACAAGCCGGTTATTCCATTTCCATTTCTGCATATGCGGCGTCTGCGTGGACGGCTGAACGTGTGTGAATGCAGACAAAGTGCTTTCATGAAAGGGTGAATCAGGCGTGTTGTGTAAAGTGCTTAAAGTGCTCGAGTAAAGCAGAAGAAGTATGGAAATGAACCCCACAAAGCAAAGTTTTAGCTTTTGTTCTCAGAACAACCTGATCAGAGAAAAGCAGCTCAGACTCTGAAGAGTATAAAGTCTGCATTGTTGCATTTTTCCTCGGCCTGGTTTAATGAGCGCTGTAAGAAGAAGTGTGCTGGGTCCTTCACTCAGACTCGAGTTTCAAACCAGCTTCCAGATGACTGAGAAAAAAATGAAGTGGAATAACAGAGAGAGTGTGGAGCAGATCATGGCCCAGAAACAAATAATTCGATTGTGAGTTATTCCTGATATGGACAGCGTTCCAGTTTGGACTGAGCTGCATTCATGACTTCCTCCACCTTACAGCACACATGCAGCACCACAGAGCTGCAGATACACCTTCGGTTCATCTCTCTGAAGTTTTTTAATAGTTCTGTATAAAGTCAGAGTTGAGCCGCAGCTTCATCAAACAGATTTACACAAACTGCCACAGCTCACAGCTTCCTGCAGCTGATTGGTGGATGGAGGGAGTGAGAGAGCTGCGATTCATCCTCGACTGGACACTGAGGAATAGACGACGTCATCGCTGGCCGCCTGCAGGCGCCTACGAAGCAAAGATCAAAAGAAAATGATCTGACGACAGCTCATGCATGCAGCATAGACAGACACTTCTGTGGTGTTATTGTGATACGTTGTGCCGAAATACAGTTTCTATCTTTCATCGCTGTCTGTTTGTCGCAGCGGCTTCAGTGTCACAGCCACAAATCTGAGCTGTCTGTTGTTTGTGTGACGACACAGACGTGAGTGTTTAAACGTTTCCTACCTGCCCTCCTGTTTCTTCTGTTTGAACTGGAGGGAGGCGTAGCTGACGTCCTCCGCGGCTCGGCCGGGTTCCTGCTGCTGAGCCGCCTCAGTTTGTGCAGACTTCACCATGTTGCTGTAGATGCTATCAGGATGCTGAGAACCACAGCAGGGAAACAAAGAGATCAGACGACTGAAGGTCCAGAATCAAAACAGCACGCTTTCAATCAATGCACATGTTTTGAACTCGAGCTTGCTAAAATAATAAACTATCCAGAATGTCACATCCTATAAGATTCATTCATAGTAAAGTCCTCCCATCACCCACTCACCTTCTGCTCTGGATCACCTCCCACAGCCCTCTGATCCTCTGCTGCTGCCAGCTTCCTGCAACGGTATCAGTATTTATGAGAATCACACAACAGGACTGTAGAAAACAGACACAAAGTGATTATAAATCACACACATTAGTAGGTTAGGAGTTAGGAAACATGCTGTGACGTCAGACTTGATCAGCTGATATTGTATTGGTTGTATTGTCTCTTATTAATATGAAAAACTACTCAGATTATTAAGTATTTAACAGGACGTTTGCCAGCTGTCTCTTAATCAGCTCTTTCATTCTTGGGCTGCAGTTTGTACCTTTCCTGCATGAGCCTGTGGTGGAAATGTCTTCATTCATGTAAAGGAAAATATTAACATGAGGAAGCATAATAATTTCTGAACGTTATCACGCTGTGCTTCTGCATTTTTCTCATTTATTTAAAGGGATTTGATCAGATGATATTTTCTAGATTGACATAAATATATAGCAAACACGTTTTATTTTATTATTAATTATTTTAAAAAATAAACCTTTATGTATTTAAGGTGAACGTGTGCTTCGTGTTTACTGAGGATGAAGTTTGAAATCCACACCAACTTCACATAATTTGCTTCTTTGCTAAAGTAAAACCACAAAAACATGAAATACTTCAAACACTCTGTTTCTGCACCTTTTGATGATGAAGGTGAAGAGTACGAGCAGGATCACAGCCAGCAGGAGACCAAACACCACACCAAGTACCAGCCGAAGGACACCATCAGCTGTTAGAACAAACAACAGATCATGAGTGACATCACTGGGTGCTGTGACAGATTCATGAAAGTGAACAAAGCTCTTCACGTGTTTTACATGTGGTTCATTCATTATCTGAGTATAAAAACAGTGAGTGCATGAAGGAGTTTTTCCAGATACAAATGTCCCAGTTTTATTCTGCTGCTGATCTGGAGATGATTTGGTGTCAGGCTGAGCATCATTGTGTGTTTGCAGTTTGATGACGTCTTCAAAATTGTTTCAGAAAACTGAACAAACCTCCAGCCTCCACCTGCAGGCTGTACGGCTCAGAGAGAGTCTCCATGCTCTTCTTCAGAGCACAGGTGTAGTTCCCAGAATCCTCTGCAGTCAGAGGGCTGAGATGGAGGGAGGGGCCAGTGTCTGAGAGGGCGTGGCCATCTTTGAACCAGGTGACCTCCAGTTGGTGGAAAGTGCAGACTGAAGCACAGAGCAGTGTGACGGTTTCACCTCTGCTCACCTTTTTATCATCACTGGAGCTGATTATTCTCATTTTAGACGAATCTAAAATCAAAGTGATCATTAGTTTCATTGAACGCTCATTTATGTTTTTTTATTAATGTCAGGATATTTTTCTCTCACCAACAACCGTGACATTCACTCCTGTCTGGTTAGTAAAATGTCCTTTATGATGATCAGCTTCCATCCTGAAGCGAAAGCTTGTTTTGTCTCTCTGCTGAACATCTCTGATCTGTAAAGTGCAGTTTGTCTTCTTGTCTCCCAGATATTGATAACGAGGATCGATGTTTGCTGGGTTACTGTCATACACAGATGGAGTGCTGTCCTGACAGATCGCATGGTTCTTACACCAGCGGACTCTGACGATCTTTAGAGGAACTTCTCTCCAACCATCATTGAAAGACTTCCGAGGTGTGAAGGTGCAGGGGAGGGTGACAGTGGACCCTCTGACAGCACAGGTAGACGTGAAAGGATAGATCACAGTTTGACCCACAGCACCTGTGTGTGACATATACAAAGCTGGTCAGATTAAACAAAGAATCATGGCAGGGTATTCTGGGTAGTTGTTATGGTTGCACACAAACTATCAACACAACTTTTTTATGATTGGTTTGCATCAAAATTCTGTTTTTACACATTGAACCTGCAGTTCAACCTTCAAACAGTCACTCATGCTGTGATATGATGCTACGTGCAGCAGTTCACTGCAGCCCTGCAGACTCTGAAACACAGAGTGACCTGCTATAAACAAACAGCTGCAAACTTTCTATAGGTCATTATTGCTTATGTTGATGATTAAGTTCTTTTTTTAAATTACAAAAACTCTGGACACTGAAGGATTATGTTTATTCCCTACAGACAGAGCAGCAACAAGGATGGGGAATATATGCTGAGAATATAGCAGGATCACAGCTGGATAACCTCATCTGGCTGTTTATGATGAGCAGGAAGCTCCTCTAACCTCATCCTGTTTTAAACCACACCACAATGTTTCCCTGAGGCAAACCAAACCTGAACCAACAAACAGCGGTCCATGTTTGGAAACTGGCAGAGCATCCGCCCACACTGCACCCTCATCATCAGAGAGAAATACCACATTCAAAGTAAAAGTAAAATAATGAGTGAGAGCGTTCTGCAACAGCAAATATTTTAAGATCTTTTGTTTGTTTTAAAAAAAAGACTTTTACTCCTTAAATCACATTTTAAAGTGTCTGTCTGGACTTTTTAAGGCTTCCTTCATCTTTCTTGTCTCCGCCTGCTTGTCTCCTCTGTCTCTCTGCCTATAATGCTGCTGCTGCTAACCTCAGTACACCATGCTGAAGGATTTCTCAGTCTGTCAGTGCATCCAGAGCACAGACTGAGGAGAACCAGCTTGTTTCATGGATGGACAGAGTGGCTGCAGCAAAGGGCAACATGAGATAAGTGAATAGTTGAGTCTAAAGATAACGTTTCGAGCTGGAAACAAGCAGCATGAGTCCAATTTGTTTAATTCTTAATACCAGTTCATTCAGACCGTGTGTACTGAATTGTACTAACACCACCTTAGTGCAGAAACATGTTTTATTTAACACTCATATACTAATTCAAAAAAGTCTTTCAGGAAAATGTCAAATTCATCAGTAGTGCTGCATCAGCACTGGTTATACATCATTAAAAAAGTTATTTTAAGACAGTGTCGCGAAATCAATCCATGCAGAGCAGTGTCACAAACCACGGAGGCCCCAGAAAAGTGCAATCAAACGATGAGTTTATTAACAGCC